ATATCAAACAATTGAACACCTCAGAGAGAGCAACCTAGTAAACTACATTCTTCTCGGGTTTCTGTGTCTGCTCTTCCTCCAGATTTCTGTCATCAATTCTTGTCTTGGCTTTCTTTCATGATGAACTGTAAGCTGCAAACCAAATAGACTTTTCCCCTGAAGATATTTTTGGTTAGTGTTTTATCACAGTTAAATATAAATTAAACAAAACATTGTTGTAGTGTTTATTCCCAAGTGGGCCTTCCTCTAAGATGTTCTTTAAATTGGGGATTCTGCTTCACAAAGCTTCCTAAGAAGTCATGTGATTGGTTACATCTTCATTCAAGATCGCCTATGTCTACAACAGTTACAGAATCACTCTGCTGAGGCCTCTTTACTACGGCAGCCATATCTTCTAATCCTGAAGGACCCAGGCCCTCACTAAAGACCTCACTTTGGAAATTCTGGTATGGCTGCAGAAAAGTCCCTGCAGGATGTAGGCTCCTGACTCAGCAGGATATGCTGTGTCTTCAACCTTCCTCGACCTCATCCTAAGTTACTGAAAACACACACACACACACAACAAACAAACAAACAACAACAAGAACAACAACAACAAAAAACCTCATAGGATATCCCCATATGGTAAAGAACCAAACACAAACAGGTTAGGCTAGCAGGCTCTGGGCGTGCTTTTCTGATAAAGGTGGAATGTGGTAACCACAGCAACTGCCCAAAAGATAGCACCACCCTTACAGCTGCAAACTACCAATTAACCAGACAGGTTCTCCCAGTTCAGAGGTACACCAACCTGAGTCTGTTCCTATGCAGTCTGTAGTCCTCTAGACACCCTGCACTACTGCTACTTGGGGTCTCTCCTACTCCAGTGCCGTGTCGGACAGACAAGAGATCCAGGTTTGAACTCGCAATGAAAAGAATCTTTGCTTTTGCATTGGATTTGGTCTCTTGGTGGTCTTTGGGGGTCTGAACTTTGGGTACAACAGCACTAGCCATAGTAAGTGATGTATTATATGTAAAATATTTCTTTATGATTTGATTCTTTGTGTATTTCCAAATACCCAAAGACATTAAGGACATTTTATATCCTGTGTCATCTTATGACCATATTCTCCACCTTTCAATTATTCTGTTTTAAAATACTATCTTTTTACTTGAGGAAAATTTAACCTAAGGATTTTAATAAAGTCCCCTTGATACAAGTGACCACTAATTTTGAATTTTCAGAAACACATTTTATTTCTCTGATGTCATTTTGTATAGTGTATTGCTAACTATCTTTAATCATAAATAGAATATGCCAATTTTTATTAAGTGTGCACACTTGTGTATGAGTGTACATACATGTGCTTGTACATGTGTAATATGGGATTCCCCTTTGTGTACTGTGAATATGTTGTATTACCCTTGGTTAATAAAGGACCTGTTTTGGCCTATGGCAGAGCAGAAGAGAGCTAGGCAGGAAAATAAAACTGAATGCAGGGAGAAAGAAGGTGGAGTCAGGGAAACACCATGTAGCTGCTGAAGGAGAAAAACACCAGAAGCTTATCAGTAGGCCACAGCCTAGTGATGATACACTATTAATAGAATAATAAGTTAATTTAAGGTGTAAGAGTGAGCTAGGAATACTACTAAGCTGGTGTAGGTGAGTCTTCTATCTGTCTGTTGCTTTCATTGGTTAATTAATAAAGAAAACTGCTTGGCCTGATAGGTCAGAACATAGGTGGGTGGAGTAGACAGAATAGAATGCTGGGAAGAAGGGAAGTGAGGCAGACGATATAGCTCTCCTCTCCAAGATGGAAGCAGGTTAAGATCCTTTCCGGTAAGCCTCATGGTACTACACAGATTATTAGAAATGGGTTAGTAGATGTGAGAATTAGCCAGTAAGAGGCGAGAGCTAATGGGTCAAGCAGTGTTTAAAAGAATACAGTTTCCGTGTAATTATTTTGGGTAAAGCTAGCCTGTGGCTGGGAGCTGAGCAGTGGGAAGCGGCCCGCAGCTCCTCTTACTACACTAAGCTATTGGACAAACAGTGTTGTAATTGATATAGTTTCTGTATGATTATCTGGGACTGGGCAGTCAGGACATGAACGAGTGGTCTCCGTTTATACATGTGTGTATGTGTGTGTGTGTGCACACGTGCATGTGCTTATGTAGGTCAAGGCATGACCATGATATCTCGCTTTTCTCTGGCTGACTGAGTAGCCCCAAGGATCCTCTAATTTTTCTGCACACCCTCCAGCCATATTGTGGCAAGGCCAATGCCTACAGCCTACATAGGCTTTTTACAAAGGTGCTGGAGAAGCTAGTTCAGAACTTCAATATTTGCTTGGTGAACACTTTACCCATTAAGTCAGTTTCTGAGGCCTGTAGTATTTACTTATTGAAGAATTCTGGAAAACTGAGTAGTGTCTTGTTAATTTTTGTATTTTCTGTTTGGATTAGGTAAATGTTGTTTAATATATTCTTATATCAATTTGACTAGCTTCCACTTTTATTAAAGTCCTACAAAGAAGGAATGACTCATCAATATTTTGCATAACTATACAGGATTTCTATGGTTTAATGACAATATTTTTAGCTCTTTAATTTTCTTGAAATGCATTCTAGATCTCTTGAAATTAACCTTAAAGCGAGCTTAAAACCAGAAATTTAATAGTCTGTTAACTCAAGATACAATGAGCTTTTTCTCTATTCTTACATTTTTCTTACACTTCCTCCTGTCCCCTTTTCTGTCTGTCTCCCCATGAGCTGAATTCAAACTCTGTCCTGTCAACACCCCAAGTAAAATTGTAAATTCTGGGCAAGCATTGGTGCTGATGTCATGAACTGAATTTAAACTCTCTGCAGTCAACACCACAAGTAAAGTTGTAAATTCTGGACATGCTTTGGTGCTGATATCATGAGCTGAATTCAAACTCTCTCCAATCAACACCCCAATTAAAGATGTAAATACTCTCTCCCAAGGTCCCCATGCCCCCAGTTTACTCTGGAGATCTTGTTGAAGGGAAGGAGAGAGGCAGGAAGGGGAGCAGAGAAAAATGTATAGCTCAATAAAAATCAATATATAAAAGCTGTAAATTCTGGGCATCTATTGATGCTGATATAGACAGCAGAACCGAGGGAGATGATTGTGCTTTCTAGAAAATTTGAGGTCTCTTTCCAGAAGAAACTAGGTTGATTTTAGTAGTTTCCTCAGTCTACTTGTGGGTTTAAGATAACTGAATCCATTAGGTAACTATTGCTAAAAGGTTTAATAAAATGATTGGTTTAAATTTAGTTTCTTTAAATATGATAAAGTAGTACTATTTTCTAAAATTTAATACAAGAAAGATAAGACAAAAGGAAAAAATGCTACATTAAAAGGATATAAATTACACTAAGAAAGTATATTTATTTGCCAAGTTGAAATGCAGATATGTAAAAGAATATATATATATATATATATGAACTTTTATATATAGCCTAACATCTTTTTTTTAGACAGCAACTTAGAATAGAATCATGAACAATTGTCTCTTGAATACTTTTGAGTCATAAAAAGAAAATCATTTTAGCAGTATATGGCATTCTGTCAGGAATTTTTTTCTGATGTTTGTAGAACATATTGATGAATATTTATACATCTTAAGCATCTAAATCTTATTATCTTCAACTATATTTTCTAAGGGAAGGTAGAGAAGAAAAATACTTTACCTAAATGGAGGTGGGGCAGTAAAATTTAGCCCTAACTAAGACATCAGGGTCTTAATTTTAATGACTCTATTTTACCCAATGCTACCCTTCAAAGCTTTAAAAACAATTGCAATTGTGTCAAAAAGAGCAGAAAAAGAAACCAAGACCAGCTAGGCCCTGTGACACCTACATTTGCAAAGTCTTTTTTATGCTACTAACCTCATTTGGCCCAAATGTTCAGAACAAATAGGCTCTCTCTGAGCATGCCAAAGCACTGCCCTGCATCAGAGCTAACATCTCCCAATCCACTTCACTTTTAAGAGGTACAAAGAAACCCTGAGAGCTGACAGGGCAAAGATTGAGGAGCTGTGGCTCCCCCAAGAGTGAATTCTTTAGAAGGTGTTCTGGAAAAAGTTGAGCAGTTTAGATATTCTTCCCTAAAGTGATGCTAATTCAAAGTTTATCTGTGCCATTTAGGTGTTCCTGTCTTTGAAAGTGAAGGCTAAGAACAAAAGAACCCTGCATGGATAAGAAGAACTGCAGGAGAGGTTTAATTCTCTTGCATTTCAGAGGTACAATGTTCTGACACATTAAAAAAAAAAGCCAGTTGGAAGAAAAATACCCCTGGAGGTGAATGACTGGTAGATTATGAAATCACAGCTCTAAGAGTCAGAGAGACCTATTAAGCTCCACCATCGCCCTCATTACTTACGGCCACTGGTGTGCTCTGTCCTGCTTGATATTGTCTAATTTTCATAACCCTGGCTACATACCTTTCTCCTGAGACTCCATTTCCCTCCCAACTGTTTAAAATCTCCACCTGACACTCATCTTGCTTCACTTTGGGCAGTTTCATCTCCTTTCTGTAGTCATTTACTCTGTTGGCAAGCTGAAATCATTTTCCCTCCTGTAATGTACTTAGACTCTTTTAAATAGCAACGAAATTATTTTATCTCTATTATGATGACATGAAAGTAGAAAATGATAATTTTAACATCAAAATTTCAACTGCATGATACGTGTCTGCTATAATCAATAGGTACTAGTGATTTCCCGAATGCTCATCTGACTCCTGTTGTTTAACTGCGGTGCAGACTTTATCCTGTTATTTAGATGTTTCAGAATGTCTCTATAGGGCTAAGGAGACTACCAACCAAAGCGATAATCTTCATCTGGGTGAGTTAGTACTTTAACCATATGGAAGGAGGATCTTAGATGCAATTATTCTCGGCTAACTATCTAGGATCATTCATATGTCACCATTTTCAACATTAAATATTGTTTGCCTTTTGGAAGCAGCCATGTATGTAGAGCACATTTGTATGCATTTGTCTATAATGGTATGTAATGTTTAATCTTCAGTCAATGGCTATTGGTTAATAGTAACAAGTAATAATAACCAATTTCAACTGTTATTCATTTGGAGTTACATTCAGAATCTAACTTCTCACCACATCTGCTCTCTGATTCTGGTCCTTGACCCCTTCTGATGGAGGAAGGTCATTGAGCAATAAAGAAACTGCTTGGCTGGCCCTGATAGGTTAAAGCATAGGTGGGAGGAGTAAACAGAATAGGATGCTGGGCGGAAGAGGAAGTTAGGTCAGACTCTGCTCTGCTCCCGGAGAGACCCGACAGCTCTGCTCTCTGGAGCAGAGACGCCATGCTCAGCTCTGCCGGATAGACACGATAGCTCTGTGCTCTGAGGCAGACACATGAAGCTCAGACCCAGGATGGACGTAGGTTAGAATCTTCCCGGTAAGCGCACCTTGGGGTGCTTACACACATGATTAGAAATGGGCTAGTCCAGGTGCGAGAATTAGCCTGTAAGGGCTAGAGTTCATGGGCCAAGCAGTCTTTAAATGAATACAGTTTGTGTGTTGTTATTTCGGGCATAAGCTAGCCAAGCGGCCGGGGTGTTGGGGACGCAGCCCCGCTGCTCCTATTTCAACATCCTTCTCTGGGTCATTGGGCAGTGTGGCACTGCTGTCTGTCTCATTGTCTTATCCTTCCACAAGCTGTGCTGGACCTTGTGCTACTTCCTCCTCATCCTCAGCGTGAAGAAACTGAGCGCTACAAATGAGCCAAGGTCAGATGCATCTCACTGTCCATTCTCCTGCATCTCAGCCTGGTGGGCATAATGGCTTTTCATCAAAGGAGCCAAGATTCTCTTCTCTTCTCTTAGATCTCTTTTCTGCTTCTCTCTAGTAGATGTGATTGATTCTTGTGATCTCTTAGTTTGATTCATGTCACTTCTTCAATGACATCTAAAGTGATTGCCTTATATTAATTAGTACTTTTTTTCCTATTTCTACTTTCAAAGCTATATGTTTTTCCAAGTATTACTCTTCATGTAAAGTACTTTTTAAAAAAATTTTAATAGAATAGGTGATCTATAAAATCAGAAAATATGTTTTTACTTTTAATCCACAGATGTATTATGAGCATCTCATACATAACTGAGAGCTCAAAAACTGAATGAAAGAAATAATAAGAGGGAGTATTTGGCAGTTTTTGTGAAAATACATTATATACAGTCATAGTAATAAAATATTTAATCTAATTAAAGTAGATAAATAATTTTCTATTATCTGGATGTTTTTATTTAAACAGCCAGTGTTTAACATGCTTCTATCTTGGGCAACACTTAAATTTTCAATGTCCTTTCACAGTATGTCAGTCACGGTTCACATTAAGTCAACCCTTTACTTTTCAGGTCATAAAAAGGAAAATACAGTGTGTGTGTGCTTAGACTTTTAGTGCTGTAATTTGTTTCATTGAACAAATTATTCAGAAATGGGTAGTTGATTCAGAGGTGAAGACATTCACTTCTACATTCCAAATAGCTTTACATGGCGGTCAGACAAAAATAAAAGTGACTAGGTCTTGTCACTCGAAGAAAAGCTGGAGCAAAGGATACCAGTAACTCAGAACATCATTTTGGATAAAAGGAAAGGTTCATACAGAGAAAGTCTCACAATTGTGTGCAAATTGTGATATGTAATATGTTTCCTCAGCACCTGATTACTGCAGTGTTGGGGTGGGATTCTTGGTACAGTGTTTTTATCAATGACATTGACAGGTCATTTTGGAGAATGGATTTGCTTCTAAATATGTATGCACATACAAACACATACATATATAGGTACACACATATACATATGCATATACACAGACTTGCACACCTATACATACATGCACGTATACATATTTAGACATAAATGCATACACATATAAGATAAAAACACAGTACATGCATATTCCCACATACACATATATACAAACATAAATATATGCAATACATATACACATGTACACATACATGAATGCACATTCAAACATAAACACACATATACTCATGCAAATACTGTTTGATGTTATTATGATTTTTTCTTAACATTCACAGTGTGTACTCTTACTAAGTTTGTAAGCTTTATGCACTGGGTTTATTAGTTTTATAAATATATTGCTTCTATTGTCTCAGTAGTATCATCCCAGAATAATTCCTTATCTGTATATTTCCCATCATTTTCTTAATCAAATTATATTGTATTAAATGTTAGTGTTTCTACATGGAATCTAGCATCTCATCCACAGGAACACACCTTTACAAACCATAGCTTTCCTTGCAGTCTATGATCTCAAGTCACTTTTTTACCAAAAGAAAATCTATATCTGTGCTGATAGGATTTGTACACTCACAAATTCTAAGGTCTTCTGAAAAACAACACTATCTGAACCAATGAACAAGTTTAGCAAGACAATGAGTGCAGGATCAATATACAAAACTAGATTATATTTCTGTGCGTTCACAATGAATAATTGAAAAATGAAATTAAGGTAAAGCAGACTAATGGTCAGAAAAGTCAATTATCTCACACAAGTCCATTTACTCATTAATCATTTCAAAGCCATGGTTAAGAGTTTATTTCCTTATCTCTAATGACCTTTGAATACTTTTCATCATCATATCTGGAGAGAAGAGTAAAATAATACATGTTCTAAAAACAGGCCACTTACAGATAGATGTTTCATTACCATTTTCTTTTAAATATAACTATTAGTTAATAATAGAAAAATTAATTTTTCACTTAATGAAGCTTCATTCAAATGAAGTAATAGTGCATGCTTTTTTGTTTTGCTTTATGAATAAGTGTAAACTACACCTGAATCGTTTCCAAATGTGTGGTCAAAAGATGGTCCTGTGAAGAGAGGAAATTGTGGCCCCCGAATTCTTGCCCACTCATTATCGTCATCAAGATCCTGGACCCAGAAGCAAAAGCCATCTTCAAAAGTACAGTTGATTTTCTCATCATCTGTGAATTAAAAAAACTCTCATCTTCAATATTTGACATGAACAACTATAATAAATTATATAGAAAATAATCCAACTTTATATAATATTTTGATTACTTAATTGCTGGGCATCAAGACATTCTTTTGTTTTAATCTTGACTGTAAATAGTTTTATTTATTTTAAAATTTATTTTATTTAAGTTAAAATATATATTTTTTCAACCATGACAAATTATTATGTTTCTTAGAGTATTGGGCTTTAAAAAAACTTCTATTGTTTATTTTTTTCTATGTTGATTCCACTATTTACCCACATATTGTGTCCCATCTGCTTCTCTCTCCTTACAACTAAATTCACTACTTTAATCAAATCGACTTCATGTTGATTTTTTTTAGAATTAGTTTATGCTAATATACTTTCACTTGTAATGTTTACTGAATATTAAAAACTAATTTAATTGTTAGATGTATTTATGAATTTCTGAAGCTAGTCAGTCGATTTCTATGAAGAATATAAACTACTTTTAATATTATTTGTTTCTAACTATTATGTAAAGAGAGAATTAGTTAGGAAAGAACTCACATAGTGAAAACTTTGGGTTCTGGTGATGTTAAAAATACTACAGCATCAGGGGAGTCAAAGGCTGACCAGTAGAAAGCACTTACTGCTAAGGTCGTTGCTGTTAAAGGTGCCATAGGTCGCATTAAAGCCAATGTAATCACTTTCATCAGATTCTACCAGAAAGGCGACTGTAACTAGGTTGGAGAAAATTCGAACTGTTCCAGGATCAGTTTCCACAAAAGAGGCTATGAAAGAAAATGTTTACAAATGAGTATAATCATAATTTGTATCTATTCATAAAAGGAAAAGATGAATTGCTTTACCAAGTCGGATTCCCTGAAAGTCACAAGCTGAGAAGCTATAGGGATAAAGGTTAACTTTGAGACCCATACCACAGCAATGAGAGCAAGAACAGAGTCATCATAGTGAAGTAAACAGTGCATAATTTTGGTTTACTTACCCATACTGCAGTGGAAACTCAAGTAATAGTAGATGCTGTAGACAATGGTCTGTACCCTGTCACTTGTATTTTAGAGAAACATGCTGATTGGTCAGTGGCCAGGCAGGAAGTAGAGGTGGGGCAACAAGAATTCTGGGAAGAGGGAAGTTTCAGTCTGCAGTTGTCACACAGGGACAGAGGAAGCCAGACACAGAGCAAGCATGATGTGATTTCCCTCCCTGAAAAAGGTACCATGCCACGTGACTAACACAGACAAGAATTATGGGCCAATGTAAGTTATGAGTTAATAAGAAGCCTGAGCTAATAGGCCAATCAGTTTATAATTAATGTAGACCGCTGTGTTTTTTTTTGGGGGGGACTAAATGAATGTGGGACTTGGTGGGACAGAAAATGTCAGTCAACAAGTAGATAATGTAAGAATTGCTTCTATGGAATTTATATTGACTATATTATTGCTCTGCCTTAACTGTGCCACCTATAGAATATTTTTCCACTTTTGATTCTCAAAGATCGATATGCTTATGGTATTAATCATATTATTTATAACATACAACTTATAAAATTATCATTACATGAAATGCTTTCACTACGATATGTGGCTTACCATGTCTATCATCAAAGAGAATAATATCACTTTTAGGAGGATATTAATTAGGTTTAATGGAGGATAGTCCACATATTTAAATGTGTGATATTCAGGTACACAAAAGCACATATTTTAGATGGGCAATCTGGAATCTGTATCAAATTTTGGCCTTTGAAAAGTGTCAAACTTTATATGGCAAATCCATCATTGCTATTTATTTTATTTTAAAGAAATAAATCATGAAATATTGAAAAATATGTACTTCTGTTCAAATTAGTAAAACTTCAAATTAGATGGCAAGTTCAACAAAACTCCATGGAAGTATCATGCTCAAGCACTAAGCCTTGCATTAATGTTCCAACCATAATGTGTCTTTAATTCATATTTTCTTCATGGAGACTTATGTTGGCCATTTGATCTAGCAGTCTCTTTGACTAATAACTAGCTTGATTCTCATACTGAAAATCTCATGCAGCCACTTAGGAGATGTTAATACTCTAGAAGCTTTGCTATAAGATGATCTGCCATCACCCCCAGCCATCATGTACATTGAAATTTTTATACTCAGTAGCTTCTGGGTGGATCAAATTAGCGCGAAGATATCATAGCATACTTGTCAGTGCATTGATCCCATATTTGCAAATGTTAAGCATCTGGTGCAGACAATTCAAGAATTGAGTTATGAAGTTCATTAACCTGCTTTTGGTATACATGCAATCCTCTGGAAAAAGTGTAAACTGTTTAACAATAGATATTTCATGAAGCATTAATTATATTGGAAAACTCTTTTGACCCCAAATGGAATAAGAACCACTGTGTCAGATGGTATGCTACACACCAAAGAGGGTACCATAAGGCTAAGATTTTAAGACTTCCAGTCTGGAGACAGCGTTGACTTCTGCCACACCATGTCCCACTCTGTTTTTTTCTGTCCCCCTTTACTCTGATGTAATGCATGGCTTTATGTGATACTTTCTTCTAAGGAATAAATAAATGATTTCCACGTGGAACAGTGTTTATTGCCTAGTAAATTCTCAATGGCTGATACTGTTTTTTTTTCCTCAACAATTAGATTTTTAAGTCCCCAAAGGCAAAGGTTATGATTTAATTTTTGTGTGCCTCTGTCATGTGGACAGATCATGAGCACATACATTTTTATTTTATAATTGAGCACATGTATTAAGGTAGGAATAAACAGAGTTATTTAATATTCCTAAACTATGTAAAGATTCTTGGAAAGAAAATTGTATATTAAAAGTTGGATTTTCCTTAATATTACATTACAACTGATAGTATACATTCCATGAATATCTTTTTCCAAATTTGTATTAAGAATTTAAATTTCATGGAAATTTCTAAATTTTTCTAAACTTGTATCAATATGAACTTACTTAAGATTGCGTAGTTATTATAGGTAAAATAATCATTTATTTTCTAACAGCAATAATGCTGACAGATAATTTTATTGAAAGAGGAGACAGAGAAACACAATAAAAATGCAAGGAGCTTAGAAATACACCAAAAGAGAGAGATGGCAGATTTTCTATAGATTAAGTTTTAACAGATGTTGTAAAAGATATTCACTATCTTTTATTTAAGCAAGAAAAAGGCTGGCATTATTAGAACATCAGTTTATGATGGAGAAGACATCAAGATGCTCACCATGTAGCTTTGAGTAACAACTGTGAATTCAGTATGAGGCCATGTGTTGATGATTTGAAGAAGTAACTAGATGTCTCATTAGAAAAATACATTTAGGTTAATATGAAAATAACTGTGGGATTATTTGCTTGGTAAATATGCGATGGAAGTATTCAGGAAGGGATTCTCAATTTTTCCCAGGCAGTCTGATAAGCTGAGTTTTGTCAGTTGTGAGCTGAGGCAATTCTTTAAATTAGTGACATACCTCTTAATATAAATTATTACTATCAACAAAAATGAGTCAATGAGCACTTTTGAGTGTAGAAAAAGTGAGTCAATAAAAGTATAAATCTTACTAAAGCTGCTTTATTTTAAATATACGTGCATGTATTTTACTTAGTTCTATATTTGCTATATATATTTTATAGTATAACATATCATTTCAGGAAACTATACAGTGTTGGTTGTAACTCCTTAGCTATACCTGTGCAGACTCTACACTGTAGTGACATTTCAATTGTATTTTAACAAATAAAGCTTGCATGGGGACTGGGAAAGTAAAACAGCCACATTGGTCAGCCTTACAGACCAGGCAGCAATAACACACACCTGTAATCCCAGTATCTACACTAGATTGTCAAAGAAACTGGGTGGTTCATGACTTTAATCCCAGTGGTATTCCTTTAATCCCAGTTCTAGGGAAGATTATAAAATGGAAGAAAACATCTCTCAGTCACAGTCTCATTCTGAGATTTCTGGAGGCAAGATCACCATTTTTGGTCTGAGTTTGAGGTAAGAGCCAGTGACCAGCTGCCTTGCTTTTCTGAGCTTCAAGTAGAACCGCAGTTTCTCTGTCTGAGCTTTTTTCAATAGTACTTCACTACACGATGGCAAGCTACCATATTCAGCATGCACTGTGAGCTGTCCTGTCCTATGGGAGCAGAATTTACTAAGCATTCTGAATTTAAAACATGATACTCAAAAACATATTTTCAGGACATGGAATTTAGACATCAGTTTTCATGTGCTCATTCAGGCTATTTTTACTACATGCTTTTAAGGTGGCAAAGCATTTCTGACAATGTCTGGTGAAACAAAACTATTGTCCCAGATGCCCAGCTACTTGAGTGAAGAAGTCATGCTTGTAAACCCAAGTCATTCTGGCAGTGGGGGAAACTAGCCCAGGAAAATGTGTGAAACCATGTTTCAAAACTAAAGACAACAAAATTGAGGATGTAGTTCAAACAGAGCCCTTTCCCCAGCGTATAACAAAGCTCTAGCCTCACCCTAACACCTCAGAAATTACAGATTATTGTTTTTGTGTGTGAAATGGAAAGGGGTCCACTTGGTCCCAGTCCATGCCTTTAATTCTCAACACTGATATTTATTAAAATCATTAAAGTAAGATCATGTTTTCATGAAAGTACCTAAAGAACAAAATTTTGTCCTAACTGTTTGGCAATCTTTATAAAAGTAATATCTAAAAGTTATTGACAAATACTTCTGGAAACTATCTATATTGACTGCCTTAATAAAGTATATAACAATTGTTTTGTGACACTACGTAATTTTGTTTCCTTAAAATTTCTTTAGATAATTTCCCCAGACTTAAGAAAGAAATATATACATTTTCCATTATGACAAAATAAAAACAAAGTTTCTGCTATATATTCTGAATTAAAATTAAATGATGACTATCTGGTGAAGATCTTAAACAAAGGAACATATAAAAAGCAGTTTTGAAAACATGTGCTTGTAAATTAAAACGAAGTTATTATCTGCCTCTTAATAAAAATAAATTGCAAATACAGCTAACATTCATAATTATATATTATGTTATTACAGTATAAGAATACAAACCTCTTAGTCAAGTTTAAATAAAGAAATCCCTTGATTTTATAATTCAATCCACATACTAAATATTAGACAACATAATCATTATTTAAGAGTGAGTGCTTTAATTTTAAATGACTTTTCTCATTTTCTCTTGTTACGATTGACATATTTATATTTTTAGTTTGAAACATTTGTGTAAAATCTTTAGCTTACTATTATTTAAATGAACTTTTATAAATGCATTCTTTTTATGAATATTAACTTCATATAACAATGTTATGATAATTACTTTTGTGTTATGACATCCACATGTCTAATTATCTCAATGTTTGTTTATTGTTTAACTGCAAAGCTAAATATATGAAAATATATTAAATAAAACCTAGGTATTTTAAGAGTAATGAAGCAGGAAACATTCATATCTATAGGAAAGTGAGATTTTATAATCAGTATAGTTTTTTATGCTTCATATGAATTGGGAGGCATTTAGTAAGATGACTGAAAGTGTCAGGGACAATTCTAATTAAGATCTGCGAACGTTGGCACCTACATCTAATATACATTGATGATGTATTTTATTTGGTGATACATATTTGACCCATAGTATTTAATCATGTGCATTATATTAATCTTTATTTTAAGGAACTGCAGATTTTGTTGCATGTACCATCACCAATGGATGAGGAGGGGGTGTGTGGGGTAAAAAAGAGGTGGGTAAAGGAACAGGAAGAGAGGAGGGAGGTGAAACTGTGGTTGGTATGTCAAATAAATAAATAATAATAATAAAAAAACCTCCTAGGGGNGATCTCTGTGAATTCAAGGCCAGCCTGGTTTACAAGAGCTAGTTCCAGGATAGGCTCCAAAGCTACAGAGAAACCTTGTCTCGAAAAAACAGAGAGAGAGAAAGAAAGGAACTGTAGTTTAAAGCTACAGAAACATCATCTGACTGTTCTATTAGTTTAAGTGAATGTGAACATATGATCTCATGCGTTGTAGGCCTCCTCATTGCTTCACTTAGACTGATAGAGCACAGCACATAACTCCTCTATATTAACTGAAGAAAGTTTTGTGTTGACTTCTGCCTCTAACATTCTCTCTCTGCATTTAATTTACTTCCTTTTATCTCACTTTACTCTTCTGAAATATGTATTTTGCAATCATATTGGCAACATTAATTTAGAAAGTTTACACAGATTATCTAGTACAATATCTGATCAACAATATGCAATAAAAATATGCATCTTTGACATATGCTTAAATATTTATCGTTAACAAATAAATCAAAACCATCTAACTAGATCAGGATCATGTTTCATCATTCATACAATTCAAAGGTGAAATTATTAATCTTTAATATCGAGAATTATTTGAAACTTATTTTCTCAACTTCCCCATAGTTGTAAGGAAAGCTGATTAATTTGTGTTTTATTCCATATTGTCTTCTTCATCCTATTTAAGTTCCAGAACCCCCTCTCTCATGATTTCATTGTCTGTGATGATTAGGCTGTGTCATTTTGGCCAGTTGGAATGAAGTTCATTGATGTGGGAGTCCCCTCTGTGTGTTGCTTGTATTGGTTAATGAATTAAAAAAAAAAAAACTGCTTTGGCCTGATAGGGCAGAACTTAGGTAGGCAGAGAAGACAGAACTGAATTCTGGAAGCAAAAAAGCAAGTTTTACGGCAAAAAGTCAACATACAGTACTCATTTCCTATTTTGACAGTGATAGCCATATTTACTTTACAGACTTAAAGGGCAACTTAATATTCTGATCAAAATTCAAAGAGAAACATGACCACTGTCAAGGCCTCCTATTTATTTTCATTGTTATAATCAACTATATGCTTGCTTTAACTTACCTCTTAAAATTTTGCTGGGTCCTATGCCTTCATAAATATCTAACACATCAGTATAATGTGCAATAAAAGATCCAAAGCTGATCTGAGTGGAAAGTCCTTGGCTTACACTAATTTAAGAGAAAAGAAAAAAAAAAAGTTCTTAAGCTGTGATAAATTTCAACGCATTCTACAGTTTGATTGGGTCTTCCATCTTGTGACAAAGCATATGGAGTAAGCTACCCTGCAAATATAACCACAAAGTACAGTTCTGTAACGACACGTTTTTAGGACCTTGTCATCTAGCACAATTGAAATTCTGCATTCAGTAAACAGAACCTTTCCAATGCTCTTTCCCTCTAGTCTCAGTAACATTGATCTACTTCCTTCTATGAATTTAGCACTGTTAAGTACTACACTTAATTGAAATTTTGTAGGATTTGTCTTTCGTGTATTCTGGCTTATTTCGTTTAACGGTCTCAAGTTTCAATCATAAAACATGGATAAGAAACTCTTCCTTTTTTATGGCTGAATAAAGGTGTTCCACAATATGTACATTCCACATTCCCCTTTCCACTTTATCTAGCCGTAACAATATTAGTGAAATACTAATCATATGCTTACTGTCTTGTTTACCAGAAATTTTGTGACTCTAAGTCATATTCATTGGATCACATTTGTATTCTGTAATATTTTTATGCACTGTATTATACTTATGGGTTGAATGATATCAATGTAACTTTTAGTGGTAGTTTATAGCAAGAAACAAGATGGGTTCATTGCAGTTTAAGCTTTATGGAGTTATTATGCTGTGGCAATAATTTATATGTTTTTAAGAGTAGATTAAGTAGATATGGCAGAAAATTTGTGCTCAGACTTACTTTTTTTTCCCCCCCCACGGGAGTATGCTATAGGCAAATAGATTAAGTTGGAGTGCAGAAATTCATCCCAGACTGAGAGGAGGAGAGCAAGGAAGTCAGAGGAATGTTGAGCTAAGCTGGCTTTAAAACCACTCAGAAAGATAAAGTCAATGATGAAGAAGACAGAAAATGCAAAAATTACTTCTTAATCTTTTAAACTTAAGTCCTGAAATAGGCAGGAAAATAGTGAATTCTTTATTTGACATAGCGTTGAAACTGACTTTCATAGGAACAAAAGAGAACCATCTGTAGAGTCCTTTTATCGTTAAAGGAAATAAATACTTGTCTATATGTAGTATTCACACATTGTATATTTGTATCTTAACTAATCTTTCTGTAGATCCCTTGATATATACAAAACATGTTTTGCTCATCATTGCATTCTACAATGACTTTGATCCAATAGCTATAGATTCTGAGTAATGTGGATATGGGACTTTTTGGGGAAAGATATTTATGTCTATGAATGCACATATTTTCAATCTAAAGAAGCTAGATTGTTATGGGAGCTCCTTCTGCTTCTTCAGCCAATAGCGGCTGAGATACCAGACCATTGGGGCGTGGTCTCTCTCCCTTTAAAAGAAGCAGCCACTTCCCTCTGCTCTCTCTGGCTTCTGGCTCCACTTCCTGATTGCGCAGAGGGCTGTTGTCTGGGACGGTGATCTGTAAGTTTGTCCCCCTTAAATAAATAACCATTCTATTAATCATAATTCCAAGCTGGTGTGGGATTGTTTGTGACATATGCCTTCACTAGATGTGAAAACACAAGACCTATCTTTGATGTCCACATTACATGACATTGGTCAGGTGTTAAAGCATTGTAGAACTTTGGCCAGGTGCTAAATATAGCTATTAATTTAAGGGTGGGCAAATCCAGTGTTCTAAATATTTTAATATCTTTAATATTTTCTCTTGAATTAATCAATCCTCTATACTTGTATAAAACTTATTGCATTTACCAATATTTTGATCCTGGGGTGGGGCATATAATAACTAGTTTCAAAATGGAAAAATTAATTTTTAAATTGACTAATTAGATTAAGACTTATGATGCCAAATTTGTTTTGCAGTAGTGGTTTAGATCCCAGTGAGCTGCTGCTACTTCTTAGACAAAGCGTTTATTGATACAGAATAATTTTTAAGGTTAAGGTTTAAAGAGGAACTTCAAAGTAATCTATAGGTTGGTAGTAAATAAAAACTATAATTATTTTAAACATACTGTAGGAAGGGGGATATTACGTTGGGAGGTTTTCAGACTGAAGATCAGGACATAGAAAATAGTGTCTTACCTGATGATCCAGCGGCAAACAACACCTGAACTGTCTGACCCTGGGTAACGATCAGCTTGGAAAGATCCAGAATTTTCCGTCAACAAAAACCTTCCATCACAAGCTGTGGCTGTGTGAACATGTCAGGTAATATTAGATATAAGCAGTCTTAGAATAGGAGGGGTTAATTAATTCTCTCGAGGTTTCTTGGTTCATAAATAATATTAATAGCATGCCCCCTTTTCTGGAGGCTTCTATCTGCAATTACCATGACAGTGTACATTAAACAGCAAAATTAAATTAGAAATTTCCATCTTTTGCAATGTTCTTAAACAGTACTGCAGCCCATTTTAGAAGCATCAGGAAAACAGAAAAGGAATGAAATAAAAATAGGAGAACACAGAACATTTCAAATATCTGTAGTAACCATTTACTATGCTGGTGAATTTACTCTTCTTCCAGATTTATTTCTGACGTATCTATAGAGAAAGGGAGTCAACAGCGTCATGCTTTATAACTTGATTTACAATTTTCTAAAAGGTTGAGATTATTCTGTGTTTGGTGGATCTTATTGCAAGGCCTTCAGGGACAAAAGACTTTTCTGTGCTTCCTCAGATGTCTGTACTTGCAGTCATGTGGAGTCATGATACTGAGTTACAGAATCAGCTATTCTACAACCACATTGTGTTTGTTCCCCAATGTCCCCTTGCCTGTGAACTGTTTATGAAAGAACCAAGTAAGAGAGGGTGACAGGGCAGAAAACTGGCATCCTTAATGCCTAGGCAAGTATCTGTGCCTGCTTTAGGAGGACCGTTGTCATCTTAAGTGGCTAGGATTTTTGTATCACAGTGTCTTGTCTGCCCAAAAGAATATGACCAATTTGTTTGTCGAGTTTTCTATGAATCTTCACATTTTATTTCCAGTAAATAATCTCTATTTTAGTTTGAAGTAATTGGACCTTGTCAGTCCTGGATATAAACAAAAGTGTAGACTATCCCTGAAAGCATTTAAATTACAATAGTATTAAACTCTTTACAATAACAATGTTTAGAATGTCAAAAATATCCTGTCAAGATGGACGATTTGGAGGGTAGTTTTGGGTATCCCTTTGACGATGTGTATGAAAAAAGGCAACTTTACATATCTGGCAGTGAAGCAAGACAGGTTCTCAGGATTAATAAGAATTAAAAATATATCTCAAACATGAATGAGTAGAATGTTTAGATCGTGATTCTGTGACCTGCTGAGAGCCTCCTGATTTTCTAGAGTGTTAGAACAAATGCTGAGGGGTAACAAGTGAATCTGCAAATGACAGCAGCCATCCTGCTAGCCATCAGACACTCTTCCTGAATTCACCAAGCAGTCCTGATAACATGTACTTGGGGCCCGCCACAAGCTCCCTCTGCTGGCCCATTATTTATCGATTCCATTGGTCTTAAGTCATTGAACTGTCCAAGATACAAGAATTAATCATGATCTTTGCAGACACACCAAAAGGTATCAAATGCTCACATTCAAACATGCAAACTATAAGTACACTTGCCAACTTAGGAACAGTGCTGCACCTTGACCTAAGAGCTTTGAGTCAGCATCGTTTCTCCACAGAGGTCAGCTAAAAAGCAAACTTTCTTGCTGATGCAATGCTAATCAGAAGAGAAACACAATTTAAAGCAATCTAACTTTAGCTATAGTCAGCGATAAGTTGTACAAACCTAAATAACCAAAGACTAAATACAGAAACTTGGTACGGAAGCAATCATTAATATGACTCTATTAATAACACAAACTAGAATTAGAGCGCACAGCTGGGGTAAAATCAATAAATAGGGAGAGATCAAAGGTCAGTGTCTTACAGAGAGAATTCTTAAATTAGCTTATAAACTTTTCTCTGAGTATGGATTGATGTACAAGGGCTTTGAGATGGCGTCCTGCTGCTAAACATTGGAGTTGGTGCTGAAGGGTTGTCTGCGGCTCGGGGGCTCACTACCACCACTGATTAAAATGAATAAGATCACCTGTGCTCTGAAACACCTGCTGCCTGAAGAGCGTTCTTTAGATTGATTTTTCTGCTACCTTGGCTAAACAATGATTTGAAACTATTCTTCAGAAATAGATACAATGCTAACTTTATAATACATATAAAGGGATGGAGACAATAAGCACACAAAAACTTGAGAATCCTATGAAAGCTGGGTGACATTAAGGTTTAATAAATATAAAGCCACCATATACTGAAAAAATATCATGCAGATATTTTAAAGCAACTGTGTTTAAAGCAAAGGTAGATGTTTAATTTAGATGCTGAGATTCATCTTGTGACTCAGAAAAAAATGTATTATTTTAAGACTCATTTAGAGACAATCTATCATCCTTACATTATTAGTCTTATGATTAATTTTTGATATGAATTGTTATCAACTTATTTTGAAAATGATGGACTCAATGATGTTAAAGTCCAAACGACAAGTGAGACATATTTTTAAACTATTTGATTTGATTTGTGTAATGTTGTTACATCATTTCCTATCTTCAGTACATAGGTTTAAAGCTACGTGTCTAGCTGATATGTATTGTTATTTTTGAAACAAAAATCAGCATCACCTTTGCTTCCTCTTGATGGTACATTTTGGATCATATTCGTTTTAAAAAGATTTTGGGAAATCCAAGGGAGAAAAACAGAGTTTATAGATCACCATCTTCCTTTTTAAGTAGCTTAGTTATGTAAAATAGAAATTTTCCATAGTCTGCACTTTTTTCCAGTTCATGCCAGCTGCACATTGAAGTATATAGTTCTGCGCTGTATGTTTGAAATTTATACAACAGCACTTGTATTGAAATTTTTGAGTGGGAGAATCTCAAGTGTAGTTACTTTTTTTGAATTGTTACTGTGAAACAGACCCAATGCCTGTCTTATGAAGTATGGACCTAGTAGATAGGTAGTTTTCCAAATTTAGTTCCTCACTCAAATCTTCACCTTGAATTAATGCCAAGGAATATGAGAATGCAATGGTAACAGACAAGGAAACTGCAGCCTCATAACACCCTACGAGCTGTGCACACCATCACCATTACAAGCTTTGTAAGGTTGACTAGTACTACACCTCGGTCTGCAACCTAAGCACTAAAAAGCTATAGGCAGAAGCTTCATAATGTGAGCTCCAGGCCAGAGCTTCTCTCAAAAACCAGAAATAAATCAAAAGGTGATTATGGATCACACAAAAAATAGGCTTAATTCAGGCTTTTCTTTAAGTTTTCAAATTGAATTGTAGGCTAGACTTAATGTAATGGTATTTTTTACTGCTTACAATCTGAACTTACATGATGATAGGTTACAATGAAACTACATTATTGTATGTACAATGAATCTACATTGATAAGATTCTTCCTGGTAACCTTTTCTAAATGGAAGCAAACTGCAGTGAACTATAAATCAAAGAGAGATTCCATTTAGATTATCTGGATTAATGTTTGGTGTAGTGTTTGTGTTATTTAAGTGTTTATTAATGCAATTAAGATGAGAACAATCAGAATGAATAAGAAAATAGACTCACAAAACACCACTATATTAAGAAATCATTGTTGCTGTTATTATTATTATTAATTGTATTATTTATAGAACTCAAGAAAAAAAAAGAAAAGCAATGAAGAAAAGGGAATGATGCTCACTGAGTTGATACTGTGAAGTAGGGGCAAGAGAAGTTACATTATATGATGATGAAAATATCTAGAAAATGTATTATATTATTAGTGCTTAATCCTAAGAACCATGGCAGCTGAAGACAAAGGGGAAATTAAAATATTGACATTCCCTCTCTACCTGAATTATGTGTGACTGATCACAATATTTTTTGCAGAGGTCTCAAATGGTATTGCATACAATTAGTTACATCTAATATTATGCAAATAAGTTTTAAAATAACATACTTATTAGATTTTGCGACAAATTATGCATGTGTATATTAGAGCAGATAATTTCCCCTTCTTTCAGAGTAAATGCATATGTAAAAGTGTGTACATGTATATGCATATACATAAATATATGTACATGTGCGCATACATGAATTTTTGTGTAGTTTGTGTACATGCATGCTTGTGTCTGTGCACAGTCATGGAGGAGAAAAAATGAAGAAGAGTAAAAGAAAGTGGGAGGCCTTACCACACAGTTTTCTGTCTTCATCTGAACCATCTGGACAATTCACTTCTCCATCACAAAATAAATCAGTTGCTATACAATTCCAAATATTAGCACAGGGTCGTGAACCAGGCTGGCACTCTACTGGGACACTGCCTAAAAATACAGATTCACATTGTAAGTTTCTTGAATAATAAGTTTCAAATTGGCAGGATAGATACAATGGCTGATATTTCTTGTGTGTTCTTTATTACTTTAATTCATAATGGATCAATGTAGTTCATTTTGTAAAAAGGAATATTTATTTCACTTGATGAATCATTAACAAAAATTCAATGTATTTTAAGTTCTATAAAAGACGATGCTGATTGTGAGTGTTGACGCTGTTCATTCAATTTTTGTAAACTTATAATTTAATCACTTAATACTTATGGTGATTCGAGTGAGAATGGCCACCATAAGTTCATATATTGGAATACTTGATCTTCAGTGGATGGAACTCCTTGGGAAAGATTAGGAGTTGTGACCCTGTTGGAGAGGATGTCACAGGGGACTAGTTTTAATATTTCAAAAGCCATTCCCAGTTAGCACTCTCTGCCTCTCTTTCTGCTCAGTACTTATGGGTCAGGATATAAGTTCTCAGCTACTACCCTAGTGCCATTCCTGCCTACCTACCATGCTCCTCTCCATGATGAGGATGAACTCTAACCCTCTGATATAATAAACTCCACTCAATGCTTTCACTTGTAAGCTACCTTGGTCATGGTTTCTTAACACAGCAATGGAAAAGTACCTGGGTCCTCAATTTCATACCCTGAACAACGTTGTGTGAGATGATACAATATATTGTAAAGTTTATTATAACATCTATCCAATAATTCATTTACACACAACTTAATTATTTGAAAAAAAAACAGTGGTGTTTATAAAGTCTGTACTTTCTGAAAGGAAAATGTTATCAAAGTAAACCACTTTGAGGTAAGATAAAATGTCTAGTTACAAGAACACTATGTAATAAAACTGGAGAAATCGATTAGCTATTTCTGCTCCATAAATCTTGGCTTCTTGCCACAGCCATTCTTTTAGGGCCTCCAATACAAACACATCCCTCTACAGTGCTAGATCACAGTCAGTCTGCCCAGGTGCTTCCACTTTGTAGCTCTCAGCCTGCTTGTTTTTTCTTCAGCTGCCCCGCCTCCAAGGTATGACATAGAGAGACTGTCTTAGTTAGGGTTTCTATTGCTGTGAAGAGACACCATGACCAAGGCAATTCTTGAAAAGGAAGACATTCAATTGAAGTGGGTAGGTTTACAGTTTCAGCAGTTTAACACGTTATCATCATGGCAGGGAGCATGCTTCAGAGGTTCAGTTCATTATCATCATGGCAGGACATGAGGGCATGAAGTCAGACATGGTGCTGGAGAGGTAGCTGCTACATGTTGATATGAAGGCAGCAGGAAGTAGACTGAGTCCCTGGGCAGTATCTTGAGCATATATAGGACATCAAAGCCCGCCTCTATCATGAGACACCTCTTCCATAAGATATACCTACTTCACAAGGTCACCCCTCCTAATAATGCTACTCTCTTTGGGACTCATTTTCTTTCAAACCACCAAAGACACATACCAAGATACACGTACTTCTAGAAATTAACTTTGAAATTCTAAGAATAACACATATTCATATACCCGTGCAAGATAATATCCATTTGTTTTTCAGAGCAATGTGAAAATTTTAATGTTTTTATTTGTGATAAAAGTATCAATGATGCTTTAAGGATTTTTGGAAATTTATCTCCCTAACATTTGTTTTTTATTATTTCTTACTTTTAAAAATACTTTGTAGCATTTGAAAATAATGTATTTTGATCATTTGTACCCCTAGGTCATTCCATATCCCCTACTGTGTCTCCTTCCCAACTTCCCAACTTTTCCTTCTCTCCCAGTGAGTTCTATTAGTGCTGCTAGTAAGTGTAGGGAGTAGGTTTTCTTAACATGAAGGGAAACACTGTACTGCCATCTGCTGGCTCTTAAAACTATAACAAGCAAAATGACTTCTGAAATTTCTTATGCTTCCCATAAACTCATTAGGAATCATGTATTTACCAAGCTAAATCTTGTTTGAGGACATTTATAGATAGGGTTGATGAACATATAAATAACTAAATTAGACTTTAAAAACTTGCTCTGATTAAAGTGAACATAAAGTTTTCATTGGGAAACTAATGGAAAAGCTAACATCTAAAAAATAGCATAAATATCAGAGCTATTTTCAAGTGGCAGAATAATCTAATTTAGTAAAAATAAAAATAGAAGTAAATATATTTATTAAATCTAAAAGTACTTTACACTCAAAATATAAGAGCTCTATTTCAAGCAAATCATTTAATTACTGTGTCCCAATTCACAAAAGTCACAATATTTGACAGTATGTCAGAAACTCTTAATAAATAAATAGGTAAAAAAAGAATTTCCTTATATGTCTATATTATTTTTGCCAAAGTCCCATAAAAGTCTATGGATTCAGTGCTTAGAAGACTCAAATTGGGGCCATTGCTAAGAATATGTGAGACTTGGGTTGTCTGTGGATTTTTGCTTCCTGGAGCGCTATGTGTCTCTCTATTGTCGTTAACCCTCAAAGCTTCACTGGCAAGGGATGGTACTTGGGTTGCTTTGATTCCTGAGCTGAGTGGTTTTATGTCAACGTTACTCAGTCTGACATCATTTGAGAACATAATGTCCCAAGCAGATTGGCCTGTGAACAAGTCTATGGTGCATTCTAAAAATTAGTGATAGCGGTGCGAGGGCTCTGCATACCGTGGATGGTGCCAACCATCCATAGAAAAGCAAGCTGAGCAAGGAATCATTTCTCAATGACTTCTGCTTCAGTTCCTGACTTCAGGTTTCTGTTCCACATGGATTTTGGTCCTCAGTTAATGACTGTCATGTGGAAATGTACACTGAAGTAAACCCTTCCCTTCTCAACTTGCTTTTGGTTTTGGTATTTCATTACAGCTGTAGGCACTCTTACTAAGATGATCCCCGTAGTGATCATTAATCCTTAGGGTTTTTATGGCTACTTACGTCACGGCATTCTACAAGGTGGAGATAGAAGATAAAAGAAGATAAAACCTTTGTGGCACAGCATCTGTTCTCACAGAACTTAATGTAGGGAAATAATTCATTTATCATTTTTGTAAGATTTTTGGGGGCAGGTTGGTCTGGGTCTGATCTCAAACTCCCTAGGTAGCTAAAGGTGACCTTGACATTCTGATCATCTGGCTTCCATTTTGAGAGTGTAGAGAGTGTAGGTATCCACACCCCAGTTATAAGGTGGCGTGGAAAGTAACTACCCAGGTAAGCAGGATGTAGCCACTCTACCTGCTGAGCTGCGTGCTAATTAGTTTTAATGAGGCCTTAAGAGAGCAATAAAAGCACGGGGAAGTAGGCAGAGGTTGAACCCATCTTCACAAGAGAATTCGTATTAAAATTTGACTCTGAAGAATTCCTGGAAGTAACTGGAATAGGCAAGTATAGAATACACATGATGGTGTGTCAGAATACGAAATCAGATACACAGAAAGATCTAATTTATCCAGATGTGATGATGCTGGGGGCATGTCAGGAAAGAGTGAAGAGGCTTAGGAGTAGGAGATTCGTCTTTCCTCAAATGCAGACTACAATATACTTGTTAATGGATAAAATCTCTACATCCCTGGTTTGAGCAGTTCAATCAAGGACACAGTCCTTCCTAGATTCTTTCGACCCACCATCAATCATGTCCTTCACAAAAACCACCCATTACTTTTTCCCCCTCTCCAATGCCCAACTTCTACCACATAGTGGATGAGTTGCAAAATATTGCATTTTGTGTGAAATATAGAAAACCCATAGTATCGAATCTTTCATGTTTCTGAAATCATTGCCTGCACTGCCGGCAACAAAGGAGTAGAACAAGCTACATTGTGGGAAGCCTTCAAGCATACGAGCAAGTGCCCAAAAGAGCCCCTCCAGGCACACTGCAGCAGCCAAGAAATCAATCTGTGTAATGTGGCCTTAGCTCCTGTAGCTCCCCTCTAGTACTCCAAATTGGTTAGTAAAACTTTACAGTAATTGGCAACAAAGGCAGCTGAACAAAAGAACACAATCCACATGGACTTTTACCTGTTATCATACAAAAACTCAGTATTAATGCCAGGTATATGATGCATGTGTTTGTTGGTTTTTCTCAAACTCTATCTTCAAGGCATATAAAAATGAAAATAAACTTAACACCCCTGAAAGACATATTCATAATAAATTACTGCTTGGAAACGGCATTTTCAAGTTTAATTGCCTCGTTCCTCTCTATAAATCTCTAGTGTCTTGCTGTATGAGAGGAATAAATGAGAGGTATGAATCAGGACTCGTGCTACATGAACTTAATGTAAAGGAGAATATGATATTTTACTACCTAGTTATCTTACAATAATTCCTTATGAATTAATTAAGTCAATTCAATGAAAGAAAATAGTCAGAAAACAAGGTTTTATTGTTGCATGAATTACCAGATATAAATGAGCATCACCAATTGGAAATCATGTTTGAAACCTAGTATTGGAAAAATCTCTCTTTTATAATAATATGCAGTTGTTGCTATAAAAATATTATTTTGAGGTAAGTCATTAGGAACAGGGTGAAGTGACCTAATTGGTTTGTCCTTCCCTGTATGAGTTGCTGGGCTGTTCATATTGAAATTCTCTCTTTATTTTTAGTCTACTTTACAGTAACAAGAAATATCAAGGCACTATCTTACACCTGTATTTATAATTTATGTTTTATGTAATGTTTATAAAGTTCAAAAATTCTAGGTAAATGAGGGGTAATTTATAGAGTTAGTTAAATTGGACTATGCTTTATCAAGCATAAAGAATTTTATATAACATTTGTATGTAATACTACAAATTATAACTAGAGCTTAGTGCGTGCTTGGTATGTTCAGCATGAGATACACCTCAACGTTTTTTATTACTTCTTCATCGGAACTGTGAACATCACTTTCTTGTTTCTAATAAGAAAGACAAGCCCAAGTGTATGTTGACCACATTCTTGTAACTCAAATGATGGGGTGTTTTGTTTCGTTTTCTGTCCCTGCTTTTCCTTCCTCCCGATGACCCTGGGCATATGCTCAGCTAGGTTTCACTATTGCTCAACTGTTTTCTTCAACATCATTTGGGAGAAAATGTTTAAGGTTATTTTTGTTATTATTTCTAGTGCTTATTGTCCTAGCCCTGAGCCATTCCATGTATGTCTCTTATAATGTTTTATGCCACTAAAAGGACTGCAGTAACTCAGATGAGTCGTGTAATGAATCTGTACACTGACCAATGGAAGAAAGGACACTAATTCACACGCTTGTTGCTTATTTTTAAGTTTCACGAAGAATGTCTTGAAACATTTTATCTACTTTTCGGTTTCATTTTAGATGGATGCAATTTAATGATTAACTTATTTTTTCAAAGTAAATTAATATTACTTGAAGTTTAATGTATAAAATGTGGTTTTTAGAACTTGTAATATTACTTCATATTGCAGAAATGAATGTGGGCTAAATGACAGTTTTTCGTATGTTCAACCGATTTGTGGCTGTGGCTAAACAGAACTGTGAGTATGTTAAGAACTTTTCATGGGCTGTGGAATTGTTATTGTTGATGATAAATCATTATAATTAATGAGTCAGGCTTTATTTTGCATTTCAAACATCGCACCAGTTCTCTATTTCCACTGGTGGGTCTAATCAGTACATCTGAATCACTGACTCTCACACGTTGTCCTTCGGCTCTTACATGTGCACTATGACATGCACACCCTTATGTATGGGATAAATAAATTAATACATGTAAGAAAATAACATCCTGGGAACTATCTTATATTACACTCTTACTGAAAAAAATGATTGAATGGGTCCAGCAGTACTTTATTACTGATTTACGACAGTACTGCATTTACAGAACAGCCCCAAGTTATATGCAGAGAATATAGCGAGAAGATAATATTTCAGTATCTGACGAAACTGGCATCCTTTTGATAAAACACTTCACTGGTAGTGGTCACATCCCTGGCATGTGGTAATAATGACAGTTTTAAAAATCAGAATGCAAGAGTAAAGTCAGACAACTAAGATACTAGTCCCCAATATCTAACCATGTTTGTTAAATTCTATGCTTCAAACTGCAAGCTGTTAAGCCCAGTATTTCTTTAGAGTTTATTATTTAACTGCTAAGGCATAAGATAATATACAAATATTAGGGAAAACTATAAATATACAAATAATAATATTAATATTATAGAAGTTTCCATAGAAATGCTGACTACTAGTTTGTCTTCAAAAATGGGTAAAATTAAAGTAACATATTTTAAATGGATATTAGCAATTCATTATTTTTTTACAATATTTTACCTTGACATTTTTAGCTTATTGTAAATTTTTAGTATATGTTAATATATTATATATAATTTTGTCCAGATATAGAAATATAAATTTATGTTTAATTTTAAGTTTTACAGAACTTTTAATTGATAAATAGTTGTGCATACTCATGACAATCAACACAGCATTATAAGAACTGACCTGAAGTGGTTGTAGCAATAGCTGTTGAGAAGTTACCCAAAGATGCTAGAAGAAAGCAAAGTAGATTTGATACTTGAGTTTATGATATAAATTTAATGTAAAACATTGTTACAACTTAAGTCAATGTGATGCTGTAAAAACTGACCTGAAGTTGTTATAGCAATTGCTGTTGAGAAGTTACCCAACAATGTTAGAATAAAGCAAAGTTGATTTGATACTTGAATTTATGATTTAAATTTATTGTTAAACATGGTTACAGTTTGAGTAGCTTTTTCTATGTCACTTGGGTTGTTGTGATCTATTGTGTATATGCCATTAAGACTGACCCGAAGTTGCCAGTGGACTGTGAAGATAAGTGATATCATAATAATATAACATATTTTAATAAAGAGGTATGTGTACTTTTTAGTGTTCCATCCAATGTGGCAGGACCAGGGATACGGAACCCTCTTCTGATCTCCATGGGTACTAGGCATGCCTGTAATGTGCATTTAGATAAGCAGACAAAACATTCATTCATAGAATGAATAAATGAAATGACTGTATCTAAAATATAATAGTTCATATAATTTTGCCCGATTGTGAATTATTGGTGTATATTAATTCAGGTATTCCCTTTTTATCTAGATCTAAGGATAAATCTTTTATGATTCTTAAACTTTGTTTTACAGCTATTAATTAGTTGATGAATAATTGTATGTATTTATGGAGTTCAGTGTGTTGTGATCTTCACTGTGCTGTTAATTATTGACCCCACCTGAAGTCAATGCAGGAATTATTGTTGTGGGAATCCAAGTTGTTTTTAGAAAGTAAAACTGATTTGGCAATTGATTTTAGTGCAGTGGTGGCACATGCCTTTAATTCCAGCACTCAGGAGGCACAGGTAGGTGGATCTCTGTGAGTATGGGCCAGCCCCGACTGCCAAATGAGTTCCAGGACAGTCAGGGATACACTGAGAAACCCTGTCATGAAAATCCAAAATAATGACGATGATAATGATGTAAATATAGCAATTACTTGGCTCTTTTTTATGTTTATTCATTTTGTTGTTCAATTTGTAACATGTTTATTTCTAAAACTAAGGGTCTCAAATGTATAAACCTTAATAATCTCAGAAAACGATTTTGTGAAGCTTGATGACATGAATTTAATTTCTGGAATGCACAGGTAGAAAGAATGTTTTTCTAGACTTGTATAAGTGCACCATAACAGGTGCATACACATGCATATGCACAACCCCACAAATGTGAACATGTGCACGCACATACTTTTACACACATTCTCACAATAAAATCATAAATAAAATAAATAATAATATTATTAAGGCTAACCTGAAGCTGTCATAGAACTGCTGTTTTTCAGTTTATCTGCAGAGATAATGATATTAAAATGATTATTAAGTATTTTAGACTGGTTATAAGGATTTCATCATATATAGCTTATGTATAATTTTTCATCTAAGAAAGTTTCAGCTTGGGGCTGGAGAGATGGCTCAGAGGTTAAAGCATTGGCTGCTCTTCCAGAGTCCTGAGTTCAATTCCCAGCAATCACATGGTGGCTCACAACCATCTGTACTGAGATCTGGCGCCCTGCTCTGGCGTGCGGGCATACATCGAGGCAGAATGTTGTATACGTAATAAATAAATAAATCTTTAAAAAAAAAGAGAAAGTTTCAGCTTATTAGGACTTATTCTGCTTATTTATGTGTCTGAGTCTAAAGATAAACTTTTTATATTTTTTAAAGTTTTTTTTAATTTCTTTTTTTTTAAATTTATTTATTTATTATGTATATATACAACATTCCTTCCATGTGTGCCCGCAAGCCAGAAGGGGGCGCCAGGTCTCATTAT